AAGCCGAAAAAAAGTGTTTATTGAACCAAGAGTTATCTTGTTTGCAGCAGGACAAAGAAGGGTAGAAAGGAAAAGGAAGGCACCACAAACAATGTCTGAAAAGTTAATTGTTTCTAAAGGTTTTAGGCCAGTAAAATTCAAGAGACCCATCGAGGAGGACTTGTATGTTTAGTGGAACTGTGAGTTTTTATAACTTTGGAAATAATTTAAAGACAACTGTTTACTATTTTATTTGTTTTCTGCCTCCTGGCTACCCAGCTTGGGTGGACTGCCTCCTGTTGGTAGGAATACTGTAAGACTTTTTTTTTTTTGGTAAAACTGAAATGTGAAACCAACTTAAGAAAGATTTCTGCCAGGTCATAGTTAAAAAGTAGTAGTGGATATGTGTTCTTATATGTTTGTCAGTTAGATTCAATTTCTTTAGTTCTTTTTAAGACTTGATATTTAATGAATACCTAAAAGTAGTACTATCTTTTTCCCTTTTTACCAGCATCATAGTGATGTTTAACTTTTGAAAAAATAAAAATCAAATATTTTTGAAATCTATACATGGTTACTTTTGACAATTAGTACTGTAAAAGTAAGGACTAATTTTACTCTGGTTTTTAGAAAGATGAAAGTGTATGGAAAGAGAGGCAATAGGTAAAGGCGACCAGTACACTTTCAGTATTCACTTTTTGTTATTTAGACCTAGCTTGCTTGGCTTTGCATGTGTAGCGCAGTGGCTAGGGCACCGGCCACATATACCTGGCTGGTGGGTCCGGACCCGGCCCGGGCCTGCTAAACAACAATGACAACTGCAAGAAAAAAAAAAATAACTGGGCGTTGTGGCGGGCGCCTATAGTCTCAGCTGCTTGGGAGGCCGAGGCAAGAGAATCGCTTAAGCCCAAGAGTTGGAGGTTGCTGTGAGCTCTGATGCCATGACACTCTACTAAGAGCAACAAAGTGAAACTCTGTCTCTAAATAAATAAATAATTCTAGCCTCCTAGGCCAGGTGTGGCGGCATATGCTTATAATCCTAGCTCTCTGGGAGGCCAAGGTGGGTGGATTGCTTGAGCTCATGAGTTTGAGACCAGCTTGAGGTATAGCCAGAGTGAGACCTTGTCTCTTAAAAAAAAAAAAAAAATAGCCAGGCGTTGTGATGGGTGCCTATAGTCCCAACTACTTGGGAGGGTGAGGCAAAAGAATCACTTAAGCCCAAGAGTTTGAGGTTGCTGTGAGCTATGACACCATGGCACTCTACCAAGGGCGACAAAGTAAGACTCTGTCTCAAAAAATAACTAACTAAATAAATAAAATAAAATTAGCCTCCTGGTGTATTTTAGGCATAGAAGTAACCAGATCACAGGATAATTCTCTCCACCACTTAGGATAACAAACAGTAAGTCCAGTCACAACAATAATTAAGCTGAGTTGGTGGAATGACATTATCTCCTAATGTCTGAAACAATCAGGTCTCTTTATGAGGACATCCTGTAATTCAAGATCCATGGTGTCTGTTATACATCATCCAGTGATGTCAGCTGAGCTGTTGAAAAATCCTGTAGAAAGAGCAGGTAGGTTGAAGGTCCTGTCCAGGAAGGTTGCTTCAGTAAGTGCTTTCAGTCTGATTTCAGCAAATAACTGAAGTCTTCAGTATGACTCCTTAGAAGGAAGCCCCTAAAGGCAGTTTAAAATCAGGTCACCAGCACCTCCCACCCCTTTTTAGTACCTAAAATTCATGCTAAAGTATATTTTCTATAAGGGCAGGGATTATGTATTGTTTTATTCATGGTTGTATCCCTAGTTCCTTGCACAGTGCCTACCAGTATCATTTGTTTCATAAATATTTGTTGAGTGAGTGATTTTGTATTAAGATAAAAATCTTTAGATTAAAGGCCTTTTAACGTTTTTTTTTTCCTTTTCTTGGGAACTAAGAAATGTGCTAGGTTTGAGCTCCCCATCCGTGATTTGTTAATAGCAGCTATACTTGTTTTATTTTCTATCTATAAAGAATAGGTATCTTAGGAGACTCTGTAACTTGGGCCGTTGTCTCATTTACTCATTAGGAAAAGCCACTAGTTGAGGAGGGTATCCAATACCATTTTCCTAGAGTGAGGCATCCTAGAGGGTGAAGTGAACACTTTTCACATTTTCTAACATGTGAGTAGGTAAGGATTAATTCAAAGTGTTTCTGGGGTCTTAAAAGAACTGAAGGGAGATTTGGCACTGGGAGCAATGTGGCAAATTGTTTTATAGTACATTTGTCCAGTTTTTAAAGTGTGCCTTGGATCAGGCAGGACCTGTAAACCTTTTGATAACTGTTAGGGAGTTTACGTATAAATCTGTATGTCTGTGGTTTAGGGGACATAAAATCTGTGCAGCATTCCGCCCATGGGAACCCTTCACACAATCAAGGTAAAGAAAGAGGGAAAACCGAAGAACTATGAAGCATAATACCATGGGAATGGACTAGACTATGAGAACTCTTTTTTGTTATAGTATCATGCCTAAAAAAGAGTTTATTGAAAATTTTAGTGAGGTTTTAAAGTTATTTCAGGAGAAAGTTTTCCTAACCACACCATGTCTTTCTTTTACCTCAGCTGTTCCAAAGACCTAACGCGCTTGCTGTCCAGCAGTTGACAGCTGCCCAGCAGCAGCAGTACGCACTGGCAGCCGCTCACCAGCCACACATTGGTAAGTCCTGAAGCCTGTAGCTCTTTTCTTATAGGTGTGGCCACCATTCTAGGATAACTGGATGTTGTGAAACCCATCAATTGAGACTGATTTATGAAAGTCCAGAAAAATTTCTCAGAGTAAATGGCCTTTGCTTCTTATCCAGTTGTCTCTAGCTACATTATTTATTTTTGGCATACCTGCTAGACCCAAACACACAAGATTTCCTTATCTCCAGCCATTGCTTTGCAGGCGTGTCCAACCCATGGTCTGTGGGCCACAGGTGGATTATGTGAGGACGTTTTTGCTTTCCTAAGGTGGCAGATAATCCTGAAAATTATGCATTTTTTCCCTTGCTTATCAGCTTTCAGTAGTGTTTGTGCTATGTAATATGTGGTCCAAGACAACTCCTCTTCCTATGTGGCACAGAGAAGCCAAAAGGTTGTATACCCCTGAAAGTATTTACTGCAATAGTAACTGGTGACTAGCAGCTCTGTGGGTAAGATTTGGACAAAATTGATTAAATAATTTGGGGTTGTGTGGACTGACACATCGTATAACAAACCACTCATAACAAGCAAGTAATACCAATAAATCTGTTTTCCAAGCAGTGTACATTGAAAAAATATAAAAAGTGTTCTCATTTAATTATTGGTTTTCAAGTTGTTTTGCTCTTTTCTTATAGCAGTTGCTAAAAGGTTTGATGGGCATTTTAGTCTTTTTTTTTTTTTTTTTTTTTAAAGAGACAGAGAATTATTCTGTCGCCCTGGTGGAGTGTCCTGGTGTCATAGCTCACATAGCAACCTCAAACTCCTGGGCTCAACTGAGCAATCCTTTCCCTCAGCCTCCCCATTAGCTGGAAGTACAGGTGCCTGCCACAATGCCTGGCTGGTTTTTTATTCTTAATAGAGATGGGGTCTTGTTCTTTCCCAGGCTGGTCTTGAACTCCTGAAGTCAAGCAGTCCACCCGCCTCAGCCTCCCAAAGTGCTAGGATTACAAGTGTGAGCTACCATGTTCAGCTCCCCCTGATGTTTTTAAGGTGTCTTTGAAATAACATGTGTTAAGTATAAGCAAGTAGAAATTTTTTTTTAATGTTCCAAAATGACATGGTTGAATAAAAAGGAGATTGGCAATCTTGGAAATGGTATGCTGTAGCAAGTATTTTTCTTCTAACTTAGATAAATGAAGGCCGCATACGAGGCCTTTGCTTGGGTCTGATACTGTATGTGGTATTCAATAAATACTCATAAATTTTATTTGAGGAAAACTGTTTCAAAGATTGCTTTAAATGGAAATAAAAGCTTCCCTCCATCTCATTTTGCAAAAATCTTCTAAATTGCTCTATTTTAGCCTGTTATAATTTTAACCTTTTAGAAATTGTGCTGAAGTTAAAGCTGTATAAACAGTTTTAATTTAAGTTATTTCTTTAGTAGTGGTAAAAAACATAAAATTTCACCAGAATCTTTAGTATAGGGATTGTCTTTTAAATATTCTTCTTTGCTTTCAACCTATCCTATCTTCTCTTTTTTCTTTTTTCCCTCATCTACAGTCTGGAATAAGTAGCTAAACTGTATAGGTATTTGGTAGGGCTACAGTTTTAGTCAAGTTTGTTTTTACTGACAGGTATGTTTTCAGCAGGTTTAGCTCCCGCTGCGTTTGTCCCCAATCCATACATCATCAGCGCTGCTCCCCCAGGGACGGACCCCTACACAGCTGGATTGGCTGCAGCAGCGACACTAGGTGAGACATTTCTGCTGCATGAGGGATTTTCTCACCTGCTAAAAAATTATTTGAGATGGGCATGCACTCTTTACACTCTTTACCAAATCCATGTCTCCAGTGGAGATTTCTACTGAGTGGCTATCTAGAGTACTAGAGTGGATATCTCTACTTAGCTGTAACGCAGGCCCCTCAGAACATGTACAGAGGCAAATTAGTCACCTAGCCCTTGGCATACATGTTTTTGGTCCGTGGAGCCATCCGTTGCTCATTTATATGTAGTATTCTGGGAATTTTCTCCTTTGTCCAGGTCTCCTACTACCTACAGTCTACCATAGTTTAGGTCCTTATGCTGGTGTCCTTCATATATTTCTAATTTCTTTGCCTCTTTCCCCTCCTCCACCCCTCTAAATTGCTCAAGAAAATTGTTTCAAACACAAATTCTACTGTTTCTCGCTCTGCTTAAACCCTTTATTGGTTTCTCGTTTTTTTCATTCTAATTCATATGCAATGGCATACTGCCATCGTTATCAAACGTAGCTGATCGTTATAACCTATTTGAGAGGTGGTGATAGAGCGTTCCTCATTGGAATCAGTATTTTAAAGTAGCTACCACGTAATTCTGAGTTTTAGCCAGGGTTAGGACTTACTATACGTAAGGGTGCTCTCTCTCTGTCTCATAGGGTCTCTGTATATGCACCTCTCTATTTCCTTCTAATTGACTACAATAGACTCACGGCATACATTGTAGCAATACTGATCTCACTTTTTGTTTGCTACAGATACTGCGTTGGTATAGTCCTTTGAACATTGTGGTCTCCTTAGTCTTCTGTAGTAAACCTTTTTCCATTCTTGGCCTATAATATGCTTTAGCTGGCATTGTCAACTCTAGGAACCCTTCCTTGCTAACTGTTCTCTATTCTTTGACTAATTATTGTGTTGTTTCTGTTATTTGCTTTTGGAATTGTGCATAACCTGCCCCCCTCACCCTCCAATCTTTCAAAGGCAGGCACTTTTGTTACTTGATTCTGTGCAACAGTTGCTGTCACCACAGTTGAGCTGTATATGTATGGGAAGTTAAATTTAGCATTAGGATAAACAAAATGTCTTTCAATGTTAATATTCTTTTGGGGCGGATCCTGGCAAGTCAATTAATGACTAAATACTGCTGTGAGATTTCACTACTACTTACATAGCCTATGGTTTACAATAATGACCTCAAATTCAGCATAGCATTTCTTAGATTTTTGGGCTTGTTTACATTTTGGCATTGTTGTGATGGGAACGTGTTCAATATAGGTTATCTCCCACCCTACCTTTGGGGATAATAGAAAGCTTTCCCTAGGAGAATGATCTCTCCTAACCGCTGTTAATATTTATAGAATACTTAACTATTTGTAGGCATTCTCCTGCCTGCTATTCTTTCATATGAGTTGTCAAATGATAACTTTATGGATTAGACATTTGGTGCTCAGATAGTTGTCTTATTGGATGAATATCACATAATTTAAATGTTGTAGAGTTGGGATTTGAACCAGATTTTACTCCAGTGCCCATGCATATACTACACTACATTATGTTAAATAGAATGCCTATTTTTTTTCCCCTTGAATTGTCATTTTCTGTACTTGGTTTAGAAGTTCTTTCCTCTACTAACTTAATATATGTTATTCAAAACAAAGAACTGGTGTTAGGGATGGCACATTTGCTATTATTGAGACGATAGTTTGGTGCCGAGAATCTTGTTTTTGGTACACGTCAGCTGAGCCAGACTGAAAGTGACTTAAATACTTTCACATATGACAGGAAATGTAACTAACCAAACTGTGGATCTGTGTGTTTGTATAAGGTGTTAATCACATAGGAATTGAAGCAGGCATCCTTATGAACCAAGCTCAGTTGATGACCCTGGAATGTTTTTCTAAATTCAGTCTTAGGCCATGTGACCAGGGTAAAGTAGTAGAACTGCCAATTGAAGAAATTTAAAGTAATGTAAATGTTTATAGTAATGGTAGCCTGTGCACAGTAGAGGTTCTTTGTTGGCTTTTGGGGAAGCCTTTGAGGAATCTCATTACAGGTTACAGCCCATCTTTCCAAGGTAAGTATGGCTACACTCCTAATACCAGTTATAGGTGGAGCATCTTTAATCTGAAAATCTAAAGTATGGAATACTCCAAAATCTGAAACTTAGTGCACACAAATGCCATGCCACAAGTGGAAAATTTCACATCTACCTTATGTGATGAGTCAAGGGTTAGACCTTATATAATGTCAATTTATTTAGTGCCCCCAAGGGAAAGTTATAGATACTCTGAAGCTATGGGTATTACGTGTATATGAAACATAAATGAATTTTGTGTTTCTACTTCGGTTCCATCTCTTAAGATCCTATAGTGTATATGCAAATATTCCAAAATCTGAAACACTTCAATTCCAAGGTTTTCAAATATGGGATACTCAACCTTTACATCTATTTTATTCAACAAGTCAAGATATTCTATAGTTTTTTTTGTGTATGTGTGTGTATATTCAACTTTGACTTAATTTAAAATTTCATACATTAATGTCTGAATGTATTTGGGTTGAATGACTTTTGCAATAGGAAATCCAAGCCTCTTTGAAATTGAACCGTGAGATTCAGTTGAGTGTCTGGGTTGTGTTATCAGAATTCAGATAGATTTTCACGGTTCTGGAATTAATGGAGTACCAGGATGTCACCTGTGAATCACCTCAGGTGTCATTCTTACTATTGAAAGCAGGATACATCTGAAACTTTTGTTCTGTTTTGTCACTTTAAGCACACAAACCCTCCGTTTATTTTGCTTTTTGGAACAAGTTTTTTCTATATCTTGCCTACATCCTTTCTTTCTCAGAGAAAAAACATACATTTTTTCTAAGGCCAAGTCCTCTATTTGTTCTTTAGTCCAACCCCTTCAACTTTTCTCAGTTATTTTCTCTTTGAGTATCTCTAATAGGCTTCTTTCCTTAGGTCTAGAGTATATTATGACTTTAGAAGACTTTGGCGTAAGGATCTTATATAACATTTTCTGTTTTTAAAAAAGGGAATTAATAATTAGCTAGTAACAATTAGTATATATTCCTAAGTTAGTATTTTATAGTAGGATCTGCCAAGCCAGGTGTACTCTTTGGGAGCCCTGAGTTGATTCTCAACAGTGTAAACTTTACCTTTCTCTTGCTATTTCTAGGCCCAGCGGTGGTCCCTCACCAGTATTATGGAGTTACTCCCTGGGGAGTCTACCCTGCCAGTCTTTTCCAGCAGCAAGCTGCTGCTGCTGCTGCAGCAACTAATTCTGCTAATCAGCAGACCACCCCACAGGCTCAGCAAGGACAACAACAGGTAAATGTAGACAAAATCTACCCCATCCCAGGTGTGAATTTTAGTTATTTTAGTATATAATTAATAGATGATATTCCTGGTAGAAAAACACAATGTATGTGTGAGTTCCTTCTTGCGTGGGTGTGTCTGAATTCAGGCTCAGTTTTAACTGTGCTTACAGGAATGCCTTTCATATGTCAAATACTTGGTTAGTGTAATGAAATGAATTCAGTTCACACATGAGAAAACTGCTGTCCAGTTAGGGTTAAACAGCTGTCAGGTGGCAGAGTAGGTCTTCATGCTGATAGTAAACATTTTGTTTTATCATACTATAGTTTTCTGCTTAGCACCATTTCCAGATGACACTGTTGTAAATGGGCAAAGATGGGGGCATCACCCTGCCATCACCCACCTTAATTAAACTGGATAGCTACTGTATTGCTAAGGAAACAACAACCAAAGCAAATAGACAACCTACACAATGGGAAAATATATTTGCGTATTATGAATCAGACAAAAATTTGATAACTGGGATCTATAGAAAACTCAAATTAATTGAGTTTTGTCAAATTAATTGTCAAATCAATCAACAAAAAAGAGTCAACAGTCCCGTATATCACTGGGCAAGAGACATGAATAGTACCTTCTCTAAAGAAGACAGACAAATGGCTAACAAACGTGAAAAAATGTTCATCATCTGTAATCATCAGAGAAATACAAATCAAAACCACCCTGAGATATCACCTAACCCCAGGAAGAATGACTCACATCACAAAGTCTCAAAGCTGTAAATACTGGCATGGAGGTGGAGAGAAGGGAACACTTTTACACTGCTGTTGGGACTACAAAGTAATATAACCTTTTTGGAAGGAAGTATGTAGAATCTTCAAAGAACTCAAAATAAGCCTCCCATTTATTTGATCTTGCAATCCCATTACTAGGCATCTATCCAGAAGAAAAAAAAAATCATTTTATCATAAGGACATTTGCACTAGACTGTTTATCGCAGCTCAATTTATAATCGTCAAGATGTGCCAAGATGCCCACCAACCCAGAAATGGATTAATAAGCTGTGGTATATGTATACCATGGAATACTATTCAGCCATTAAAAAGATGGAGACTTGAGGGGCGGCACCTGTGGCTCAAGGAGTAGGGTGCTGGCCTCATATGCCAGGGATGGCAGGTTCAAGCCTAGCCCCGGCAAAAAAAAAAAAAGATGGGAGACTTCACATCATTTGCATTAACCTAGATGGAGGTGGAACATGTTCTTCTTAGTAAAGCTTCACAAGAATGGAGAAGCAAGAATCTAATGTATTCAATACTAATATGAAGGCAGTAGATGATCTAATATAAGGGAGGGGTAGGGAAATAGGGGAGTGGGGGGGGTCACAGTGTATGGCACACCTCTTGAGGGTGGGTCATAATTATAAGAGGGACTTTACCTAACAAATGTAATCAGTGCAACCTAGTTCTTTGTACCCTCAACGAATCCCAAACAATTAAAAAAGAATTTTGTAAGTGATTGGCCACCAAAGGTCCCCTCTGGTATTAGTTTTGTAAACTATTTACAGTACTGTTGGATTGGATACATATCTTAATCCTATTATATCTGTGTTAGTTTTTTTTTGGCCAGGGCTGGGTTTGAACCTGCCAACTCCAGCATATGGGGCCAGTGCCCTACCCTTTTGAGCCACAGGTGCTGCCCCCCGTGTTAGCTTTTTATTTGAGTTGGGAAAGGATAGTAAACTGCAAAACTATATACATCTTTTAAAAAATTGACCATTTCCCCCTAATTATTAGAATAACACCTCTTCATTGGTAGAAATTGTGATGAAGTAGAAAAATCACAAGAAGAAAACCATTACCCTAAATCCGTTTGTCAGAAAACCAATATTGTGTTTTATATCTGTTATTCCACCTTATTTAATTCATTATAACATTGGGATTATTCTGTCCACTTCGTTTTACATCTTGATTTCATACATTACCATATTATTATTTATTTTATTTTATTATTATTATTTTTTTGCAGTTTTTGGCCAGGGCTGGGTTTATTATTTAGTGGTGGTTTTTTTTTTTTGGAGACAGAGTCTCACTATGTCGCCCTCAATAGAGTGCCATGGTATCACAGGTCACAGCAACCTCAAACTGTTGGGCTTAAGTGATTCTCTTGCCACAGCCTCCCAAGTTGCTGGGACTACAGATGCCTGCTACAACACTCCAGCTATTTTTTGTTACAGTTGTCAATTGTTTAGCAGGCCCAGGCTGGGTTTGAACCTGCCAGCCCCTGCGTATGTGGGTGGCACTGTAACCATTGTGCTATGGGGGCTGAGCCTTAGTGTTGTTTTTATTGTAGTATCTTTACATGGCATATTTAAATCCACTGAAAGGTATTTTATTTTGAGTAATCCCATTATATTTGATATTTCACTTAGCAGTATTTTGGTGTTATAAATGAGACTGTTTTTAATATGCTTGGTATAAGTCCATGACTCTTTCCTTGGAATAAATTCTTAATAAGGGAATTTTCCTGGATCACATGAAATGCATTAGGCTTTTTTTTTTTTTAAAGAGTAACATGATTTTATGTATATATATAAATAATAAATATATGTTTTATTTATTTATTTATTTATTTTGGCCAAGGCTGGGTTTGAACCCGCCACCTCTAGCATATGGGGCTGGTGCCCTACTCCTCTGAGTCACAAGCACTGCCACACATTAGGCTTTTGATAGATGTTGTCAAATGAAAGCTGTCTCTTGAGGCAAGACACCATGCTCATAGACACCATGTTCATTATTACATAAGGTATGATCAAACAAGATTTTTTTTGCTTTTCAGAGTGTATGTTTAATTTTTTTAGATGCCATACCATTATAGGAAAAATACAGGTCCTAATTGTTTGTTGGAAACTATTAGATGATTTTCTGGGCAACAGATGCAGTTCTTACAGTGTGTATGTAAGGAAATTCAGTGAATAATTTGTTGATAGAATGCGTGCTCTCCATTAAATAAATTTCTTAATATCTTCTCTTTGTGAATAAGTCTATATTTCTTTGTGTGATGAACTTTTGTTGAATGGCTACCAACTCATTGTCAATTTGGAAGACTGAAATAATTGCTGTGTTTTAAAATTAGCATTGTCAGAGTGAGCAAAATAGTAGTAACTACTGGTAGTCAAAAATTTCTGTGTAAAGCTAAGTGCTCTCTATATAATTTCTGTTTCTTATTCTAAATCTGATAAGTAGATATACAATTTCTCATTTTATGATTGAAGAAATGGAATTTTTATTTTTTGAGAGACAGTCTTACTTTGTCGCCCTCTGTAGAGCGCTGTGGCATCACAGCTCACAGCAACCTCCAGCTCTTGGGCTTAAGTGCCTCAGTCTCCCAAGTAGCTGGGACTACAGGCGCCCACCACATGCCCAGATATTTTTTTGTTGCAGTTTGGCCAGGGCTGGGTTTGAACCTGCTGCCCTCAGTATATTGGGCCGGCTCCCTATTCACTGAACCACAGGCAGCTCTTGTATGCTCAGGGTCACACAAATATTAAGTTGTTAAGAATTGAATACAAATCTCTATCTTCACAGCTTGTTTTCCAGCCTTACTGTGATGTCTAGAGTTAAATAAAATCTGAGATCTTGTCTTTCTTCTACCATTAACTGGTGATAGCTAGGGCGAGTTACATGAGTTCTCTGAAGGAATATTCCTTTGTTATAAAATGAATAGGAATTTTTTTTTTTTTTTTGAGACAGCTTCAAGCTGTACCCCTGGGTAAGCAAGTCTCCTGCCTCCGTCTCCCAAGTAGCTGGGACCACTGGCACCCACCACAACACCCGACTGTTTTTTGGTTGCAGCCATCATTGTTGTTTGGTGGGCCCAGGCTGGATTTGAACCCACCAGCTCAGGTGTATATGGCTGGTACCTTAGCTGCTTGAGCCACAGGTGCTGAGCTGGAAAAACATTTTTTAATTAGATTTTCTGTCATCCATAATTACAGATTCTACTATGAAAACATTTTTTAGCATTAGTTTCTTTTTCTTAATTAAAGACAGGGTCTCACTCTGTTGTGTAGGCTGGAGTACAGTGGCACAATCACAACTCACTGTAGTCCCCAACTCTGGGGTTCAAGCAGTGCTACTGGCTCAGTTTCCTTAGTAGGTAAGACTATAAGGCACATACCAGCATGCCTGGCTAAATTTTTACTTTTTCCTGGATGGACATAGGCACTCACTGTGTTGTGCAGGCTGTTCTTGAACTCCTGGCCTCAAGTGATCCTCCTTTCTCTCCCTTTCAAAGTGCTAGGATTACAGGCATGAGCCAGTATGCCTGGCTAGCATTAATTTTTAAAAAGCAGCCATTGTTTTGTTGTTTGGGTTTATGTGTGTGTGTGTGTGTGTGTGTTAGTGAGCTTGCTTGCCAGTTTCTGGTTTCAATATGATTTTAATTACAATGAGAGGCTCTTATTATATAGGCAGTTCCTGGGTTACAAATGAGATTGGTTCTATAGGTTTATTCTTAAGATAATTTGTATGTAAGTTGGGACAGGTACATTTACCTATTCCTGTAATACCCTCTGTTCATTAAGTGTGATTCGTAAGTCAGATGTTCATAACTCAGGGACTGCCTGTACTTTAATTTTGGCCATCAGATTTTATCAGAAAGCATATGTTATGTTCTCTGCATACTAACCATTTTAATTCTAATTATTGGAACATAAAGAGAAGTCAGTGACATGCCTATTCCATCTTCTGATTTTCTTTTTTTTGTTTGAGACAGAGTCTCACTTTGTCACCCTCAGTAGAGTGCTGTGGCATCCCAGGTCACAGCAACCTCAAACTCTTGGGCTCACGTGAGCCGCTTGCCTCAGCCTTCCAAGTAGCTAGGACTGCAGGTGCCCAACACAATGCCCGGCTATTTTTAGAGACAGGATCTCACTCTTGCTCAGGTTGGTCTTAAATTCCTGAGCTCAGGCAGTCCACCCACTTAGGCACTCACAGAGTGCTAGGATTAAAGGTGTGTTAAAGGTGTGAGCCACCACGCCTGGCCCTGATTTCTTTTTCATCCTCATTTAAGGTTCCTTTGATACCTGATAAAAATGTTTTTCTTCTTCTGTGTTTTTAAAATTAAATTATTTTCTTCTGTAAATGTATTAAAAATATAAGGCTCCTTGGCATTTGATTCAACCCAAACACAAGTGGCAAATTTGGTGGGGATGTGGTGTTAGATATTGTATCTTGAGAAAGAGAAGTTTAAGATGGCTTCTGAAGTTTCTAGGTTGAAGGAAACTGCCGATGATGATTCCAGGCAACACAAGGAAGAACCACTAAGAAGGATGAATGATTATTTAATTTAATTTAATTAATTTATTTTTTATCGAGACAGAGTCTCACTTTGTGTCCTTCAGTAGAGTACTGTGGAATCATAGCTCACAGCAACCTCTGCCAACCCCTGGGTCCCTGGGTTTAAGTGATTCTCTAGCCTCAGCCTCCCAAGTAGCTGGGATTACAGGCGCCTGCTAGAACACCCGGCAATTTTGGTAGAGACGGGGTCTCACTCTGGCTCTCACTCTGGCTCATGCTGGTCTCAAACCTCTGAGCACAGGTTTAGTACTTTGATTTATAGTTAAGGTGATCAGAGGCTGCCTTGGCCTCCCACCGTGCTGGGACAACAGGCGTGAGCCACCACGCCCAGCCAGGATGAATGATTATTAATTAGAATATCTCCATTGAACACCTACTTGTTTGTAATGGATTGGTTGCTTCTAAATGTTAAATGTTGAATCAGTACCTTTGATTAGAAATTTGAATTTAACAGTTCATACGTTATCAAGATAGGTAGTAAACTAACTCCTAGGATAATGTTTTGAGAATTCAGCCATTTTTAGGGATTTTATTTGATTTGAAAATGTTAACTTGTAAAATTTTAATAGTATTTGTTTTTATAAAATTTGTAGACTTGACAGCTATTGATGAAATTAAAAACAGGAGTGTTGGCAGATGACTTTAGAACTTTGATTTATAGTTAAGGGTACTGCATACATTTCTAGAGCATGGGCAAAAAATCTAACTTATGTTGCTTTCCTTCTTCTTAAAACAAGACTCTGGAAGTGTTTTGGATTGTGTGTGAAAACACCACACCGTACTCCAGAAGTGCATTAATGTACATAGTTACCATTCAATAAAAAAGAAAAAAAAAACAAGACTCAGTAGTAGTTTTGACTACCTCTTTTTTCAGGCACCTTATTTACTCTATCTGAAGTCTTACCCTTTCATACAGCTCCTACCCACATGTAAGATTTAACTTCTTTTTGCCTTATACAAGCAATACTTCCATTCCTTTTAAAAATTCTTAAGCAGTTTGAACTATTAGTGTTTGCCATATTTCTATATGCACTGTTTTCTTTGCTAAAATGAGATCCGTTCTGAATTATTGTGTAGGTGTCTTCTAAGTCTTGGCCTACTCACCTGTGCTAGTCTCCTCTTTATGCTTCCATGTAGTTTGAAACACTTCCCTTTTTTTAGAGGGTTAGGTAGAATTTTTTATCACTCTGAGTAGAGTGCAGTGGTACAGTCACAGCTCACTGCAGCCTCAAACTCTGGGCTCAAGTGATTCTCTTGCCTCAGCCTCCTGAGTGGCTGGGACTACACATACCTGTCACCATGCCCAGCTAAATTTTTTTTCTATTTTTGGTGGAGACAGTTTTGCTCTTGCTTAGATTGGTCTTAAACTCCTAAGGTCAAGCAATCCTCCTGCCTTGGCTTCCCAGAGTGTCAGGATTATAAGCATGAGCCACCAAGACTGGCCTGAAACATATTCCGTTGTGAAGTTGGTTAGATGCTTTAGGTCATAAATAGAAAACAATTGCATACTATTTTGAGAATAGTAGTTACTATCTATTGGTTATTAGTTATCTACTCAGTATCAGGCATTGAGCCTTACAGATGTTATTTCAAGTATTTCTAATAAATCTGCAAGATCACCTGTTAATTGTCACTACTTCCAGATAAGGAAATGAGAGACTGGGTATATTAAGTGTCCACACATCTCTTCTTGCCAGAATGGACAGTGTTCAACTTATATTCATTTATGCTTATTACTATTTTTTTCTTTCTTTGGCTCTCTCTCTTTTTTTCAGTTGTAGTCCCAAGAATAACCTATACCCAAGTTCTTGACCACATTTAATTTTTTTTTTTTTGGAGACAGAGTCTCACTTTGTCCCCCTGGGTAGAGTGCTGTGGCGTCATAGCTCACAGCAACCTCAAACTCTTGGGTTCAAGGAATCCTCTTGCCTCAGCCTCCTGAGTAGTTGGGATTACAGGTGTCCACCAAAATGCCTGGCTAGTTTTTAGAGATGGGGTCTCGCTCTTGCTTAGAGCTGGTCTCCAACTCATAAGCTCAAGCAATCCACCCACATTGGCCTCCCAGAGTGCTAGGATTGTAGGCGTGAGCCACCATCCCCAGCACATTTAACTTTTATAAATAGAAAATATTGCAGAAACACATTGTTAGAAACTTTAGTAATTTTAGCTTTGGTGTGTGGGTTTTGTATTTTTACTTGGGATTTATAGATCTTATAAAAAAGATTATTCAGATCACACTAACATCTCTCAATTTATGTTTCGTTTATAAAACAAATCAGTGGTGGCATAATTGGTATTTTGCACTGAACTTGACTGATACTCATTTCCATTTAAATGAGCCTGTTTCTGGAATTTATGAGAGGAGAAATAGAAATAGGTTAGAGGTCTGCTAAATCAAAGTTGTTGAACTCATAGGAATAGTGTTAGAGAGTAGAGAAAATGTTCTCATTCATTTTGTGGGTGTGTTGGGAGTGTTACATTTAATAACTTAAATATGTGGGTAAATCACCCCTGTTTATCCTAGCTGAACTTCTCTCCCCCATCATAGTCTTCCTTTCTTCATCCATTTTTTTTCTTTTTTCTTTTTTTTTTTCTTTTTTTGGTCAGGGCTGGGTTTGAACTTACCACCTCCGGCATATGGGGCTGGTGCCTTACTCCTTTGAGCCACACGTGCTGCCCGTCTTCATCCCTTTTTTGTCAGACATTGTATAGTGTTTATTTTCTGCCTTATATATCAGAATATAAAGCTTCCTGAAGGCTGGAGCTTTTTTTTTCTTTTCACTACTCTGTCCTACCTGCCTACCATGTGGTAGGCATTATTTAATAACATTACCTTCCTATTGTGCACTTAATGTGTGCCAACCATCATTCTGATTTATCTTTTAACATAATCTTAACAAGAACTTTATGAGGAGGGTGGAATAAAGTATGTGATTGGTGAATGAGCCATCATTTTATGTGCTTTTTGCTGCTTGTAAAGGTACCATGTTTAAGCTAAGAATGGTAGAATGAAATTTTGTTGTATGTGTGTGCATGTGCATGTATATATATGTTTTTTAAATTTTTACTTATTTATTTTTGAGACAGAGTCTCACTATGTTACCCTTGGTAGAGTGCTGTGGTGTCACGGCTCACAGCAACCTCAAACTCTTGGG